ACTGAAAATCCTCAAACAAATCATTCTTGTGCAAGTGGTCACATAACTGCTTTGCAACAGCTTTTTCAAGGATTTTGGAAATAAATGGGCGATTGGATATTGGTCTATAATTAGCTAGGACACCTGGGTCAAGAGTAGGCTTTTTGAGTAGAGGTTTAATTACTGCAAGTTTAAAAGCCTGTGGAACATAACCTGTTAATAGAGAGAGGTTAATCAGATCTAGTATGGATGTGTTGATTAGGGGAAAGACGTCTTTGAGCAGCCTGGTCGGGATGGGGTCCAGGAGACATGTTGATGATTTAGATGAAGCAATTGTTGAGGTCAACTCAGAAAGATCTATAGCAGAGAAGTAGTCCAAGTATAAATGAGGTTTTACAGATGTTTCTAAAGCCATTGTAGTAGATGGCACATCCGCGAAAGCTGCGGGAGTGGTCTGACCAATTTTTTCTCTAATAGTTGTGATTTTATTTGTTCAATCCTCAAAACTCTCAAAGAGAGAAATAGGACAAATTCAGATAAACAATGTTTTTCTTGGTCAAATCTTCTGTGACTTAGGAAAGCATAAAAGACATGAAAATGTTTATAAACAGTCTCCTTTTGCACCAAATCTTCATAAAGACATGAAAATGTCTAAAACTGTCTTCTTTTCAAGCCATCCTTTCCCCATTAGGCCGGGTGGATTGTGGCTTTTTGTTAAAATTCTTCATTTCTTCATCAATTATCTTTGAAGCAGGAATTCAGTTCCCCCGCTGAACTGTGAGGCTCTGCCACAGTTTGAGATTAGGCTGGACTCTTTCACCGGCCTCTCTCAGTGACAGACCATGGTTTATTACATGGTCTATGATGGTGGCTCTTATTTCATCAGTGACAACAGCTCTTACTCTCCTTTGACCTCCTCCACGCATTCTTACTCCTCTCTCCTTCTTCCTTGTCCTGCTGCAACTATTCCTCTCCTTAGATCACCTTGTCCTCTCCCTCGTCCAACTATTCCTCCTCGTCTAATTCCTCTCCCTTGTCCAGACATTTTCTTCCTCTTTGTGGTTTTCTGTATTGTTTTGAACAAACCCGGTCTAGAGAGTGCATGTTTTTTTTATTGTACTTGGACATGCATGGAAAGATGTGGGATTAATCAGTGTCAAATTGGAACCAGCTGTTTCCCAATTAGAACAATAATTCTTATCAGCTCTTTGAGCTGTTGTGGCAAAAGTAGAGGCTTTACATTATATTTAAAGTTTGGATCATTAGGTCTTCAATTCTGTCATGATGTGTTTAAGCATTTGTTAAAGATATTTGAAAGATCCATTATTTTGCTATGGGGTAAGCTTGTGTGAAAAGAAAATGTAGGCATTTTAGAAACGTGTGTATTGACTAAATTTTGTGTGAAAATGACATTAATTGTATTAATGGTATGGTCACAACAGACAGATGTTGTGATAATTGTGTTTAGAGTTTTGAAAATGTGAATACAGAATGGACAAATGGATGTTGTATTTATTTTGTCTTATGTTGAGGATGAGGTCATTCTCCTCTCCATAAACAAGAATGTTTACCAAGCTTCTGTAAACTGACTCGTCTCCCCCCTTGATGAGGCCTAGAATGGTGGTGTCATCAGCATATTTAATGATGATGGTGTTGTCATGGTTGGAGACACAGTCATGGGAGTACAGGGTGAAGAGTTTGGGGCTGAGACAGCAGCCCTGCGGTGAGCCTGTGCTGATTGTGAGCTCAGCAGACACCCACCCTCTCATTCTGACCACCTGTGGTCTTTCAATCAGGAAGTCCAGAATCCAGTTACAGGCGGGAGGTGGGACATTGAGGCCTGTCATCTTCCTAATCAGCCTGCATGGGCAAATGGTGTTGAATGCAGAACTGTAATCCAGGAAGAGCATCCTAGCATATGTACTGCTGTTGTCCAGGTGTTTCAGGGTATGGAATAAGGCCAGAGCCGTCGCATCGTCCACTGATCTGTTGGGGTCTGGAGGGGGTCTACAGTGTCCGGGACCATGTGGTTACAGTAACGTGTGTGTGGACCACTTACTCTAAGCACTTCATGGCGACTGATGTGAGCACCACTGGCCTGAAGTCATTCAGAGTGGATGTGTCTGTAGTCTTGGGGACCGGTATGATATTGGATTTTTGAAAATGCGAGGAACTACTGCTTAGGTTAAAGACAAGGTTGAAGATGTCTGTATACACGCAACCTAGTTGATCCCCACAGGCTCTCAACACTAGGGGGGACACCATCTGGTCCTGCCTCCTTATGGGGGTTTACCTGTTTCAGGGCCTTTAGGCCCTGTGTGTGCGTCACCTGAAAAGCAGTGTCCCCCGGGTCGCAGGGGGATTTTGAGGGGGTGTCTGTGTTCATCCTGTCAGACCCCGCAAGAAGTTGTTGAGGCTGTCCAGGAGGGTGGCGTTCTGGGGGGTTGTGTTTGTTGATTTGTTCC